TCCTAAGTATATCAGTTAGTACTTAGTATTGAAGGAACACCAAGCAGTACCCTTCAATATTCAGAAAAGCAACACACTCCTTTAGGAGCACAACGCAGCAGCAAGTTGAATCATACTTGCAATACCAGGCCTTAAAAATCAAAACTTAGGACATGATACTTTTTTAACACTTTTTGCTCCTTGATTGGCGAATTTATTTGTATCAAAAAGTGGATGAGTTGGAGCTCCGTGTTTAGCATGTCTAAGTACAAATCCTTACTTCACCACTCACTGGGTGTGGGACCTCAGACAAGTTACTTAATCTTTCTAAGCCTCAATTTCTCCATTTACATAATGGGGGTAATAACAGTGTTGGGAATCACTCCTCTGTGGGTCTCTCATTCTTCTGTGTCTTCTGCATATGCCAAGAATGCACGACCCTGAGCACTCTTTTCCTGGACAGGGAGCAATCTTGGAGAAGGAAATAATGCGTCCCTTGGGAACAAGGGGCAGTCTTGCTTACAGGCTGCTGCTATAAAGCAGGGTGTTTCCCCTGCTCCATATTCCTCTTGTGTAAGATAATCAATCCACTGTAGGCGCAGGCATGCTTCTTGGGCAACCCTGCATCAGCCCCATGGGAACTAGGGCTCAGGGAACTGACACAAGCCTGCTGAAACTTTGGCAGCTGCTTTTGCTGTTAGTAATAAGTCTTTTGTCTCTGACCTAGGACTCGTGTCTTCTATCGGCATCCATGAAATTGTGACAAGGTCACATGGTAGTGAGCAAGTAGGGGGAAATCTCAATCCTTCACAGTTTTTGACAATTAGTACCTGTCTCACAGGGCTTTTGTCGAAATTAAATATTATAAAGCAATAGGCTTAACCCAGTGTCTGGTACCCAGGATGCCTTTAACAAGTATTAGCTATTTATAGCTATTATGAAAAGTATTATGAAGGAATAAAAATTCAAGACGGGTGTTTAATGAATCACCTTTATTAAGAAGAATGAAATCCCAAAAAGCTATTAAATTCTCAGTTTAAAAACTGATGAACTCTAAATCATGAAATGCTAATTAGTAATGTCTCACATTTCTACAATGTATAAAAGAGGCTTAGAGGAAGGCATCAGCTTCAGTGGCTCTGGCTGTGTGTTCAAATACATTACCAAGTCTGCACGTACCAGTTCTTTTGCTTCTTCGAGCTGCTTCTCCACATTTGCAACCATCTGCTTCTTCTCATCTGAAAAAAACAACAATATTAAGGAATTGCTAAGGATACAAATAAATAAGTTTAATATTTAAAGATTTCTATTTTCATTTACTTTTTTCCTTTCTGGCCAGAGTAGAGAATTAACATATCAGGCAAATGGCCATATCATTCTTTGGTAAGGTTAGGAACCACTATAAGCCACTGATTCTAGGCACCGGGAAATACATAATTCTGTGGAGCACCAAACTACTAAGAGATGTTATAACATTTTTAAGAGAAATCAAAAATTACTTTGTTCTTTAGAAGAGACTGGGTAGCAGATTTAGTGGTGGCATGAGGAATTTGCAAAGCCATGACTTTAATAAATTGAGAATAACTGATTTATGAATACAGTTTAAAAGTCCCATACAAAAACAATTCCTAACACTGGGTAAGATGTCACAATTCCTTAAAAAATTGTGCTTGTAATGGAACAGGTGTAATGGAAGAAAAATTTGAAGTCAGAATTACTGATTCTAAACCCACGTCCACCATCTACTCATTGGTTATGGGATCCTGGGTAAGAGTTTTTTTCTGAGACTCAGTCTATACTCTCTAAAATGGAAATTTAAAATATCTATTGGATTCTTTTTAGCACAAATAAGCTGATGCAAAAGAAATTACTTTTTAATTTGTGGAGTGCTAAGTGTTCATATGTGATTTATTCAAACTAACACAAGTTATAATCCAACTGTAATTCTGTTTTCTGGGAGAGACATGTTCTAGCAGATATTTTCAGAAAAATTTTCCCTACCCCTACTCCAAATCAATTGGCCCATTTATGTAGAGGTGGCACCTCAGTTTTGTGCTAACTAAATTTATTGAACATTTGTAGTTTTGTCTGCCTGACACCCGTCTCATCTCAGGCAATGACCCTCTCTCTTAGATGCTCTCCTCTTCACCAAGTAAGTCAATAGGAGATATTATCTCCACCTTTTTAAACCAAACAGGACTCTGTGGGGCCTTCCCAGGACAAATCCCTCCCCCATATCTTCTGCTGTAGCTCCTTTCTGAAGTATCTGTTAATAATATCTCATGCATATTTCCTAAGTTTTTCAGATGCTAAAAACCACCACCAAATGGAAAAAATTAACTACTTGATGATTATGAGCACATAGCTCCCAGGCCTTCCAGTGCCTAAGGATTGATCACCGTCAACCAATCAGAGAATTGTGCACAGCTGATCACATACCCTGGGCTGCCCCTCCCTCGGCTGGCCTTTAAACATGCTCAGCTGAAACCTTTCAGAGAGTTGGAAGGTGGGGCTTGGGCATGAGCCATCCATTTTTCTTGCTCAGCCCAGCAATAAACCTTTCTGTGCTCCACACTCCAATGTTTTGATATTGTTTGTTCTCATGGGGTGTCGGACACACAAACTCACATTCAGGAACAATTTTGGAGAAGCCAGCCTAGGATTCTGTGCCTGTGGCAGGCTGACCCTCGCCAAGGGCAGCCCCTTCCCTGGGTCCCTAGCCGTTGCCGAACTCGCTTCACGTGGGGGAACTGGGAGGGACTCTCCCTGACAGGCACAGGCAGGAGGCTATCTGGAGCTGAGAAACATCTGGAGCTACAGTCCACATTCAGTGTTGCCTGGGGGTGAGTCGCTCCAGCTTGTACAGGCTTGGAATTCTCTCCACTCCATCTGGGCTCATTCCCTTGCAGGAAGTGAGCCAGTCTGGGCTCCTTGGAAGCCACTCTGGGTCCTTTCTCTTTTGAGAGTTGGGCCCATCTGTTTGGAGGCCTCTGTCTGGGAGTGGAAGTGGAATTTGGGGGCTACAACTTGTCTGATTTGTGTGTGTGTGTGTGTGGGACCATGTCTGTTGTTTAAATATGTGTGAGTCAGTACCGCATTGCCCAGTTGAGACGTCTTTGGTGAATAACACAGCTCAAGTGTGACGACACCAGGGTCTCCTTCCTATTGTAGTGGCTTCAGCTGCAGTGGAGCGTTGGTTGGGATTTTCCCTTTCTAGCCTTGGTCATTCATTCGGCTCCATCTCTGATGGGGCATTGGCTGGGGTTCTCCCCTTCTGGACTGATGGGGCATTGGTTGGGAATCCCCTTTTGGGGGCTGGGGAACTATGACCCTGAGAGACCATTTTGAATTGCTGTTTGCTTGACGTTTGATAAAATAAGCAGCAAATGAGTAATGGATGATCAGAGCTCTGTTCCATCTTGTAGTCCCCCTAGGGTATATTTTGCAAAAGTGGGAGATTTTCAGCTATGCTCCCACAAACGAAGGAAAATGATTTTTTTTTAATTATCACACTGTGTGGGCCCCCAGTGGCTCTGCTAATATATCAAAGTAGGCCTTTTGCAGTTATTTTGGCTTTTATCGTGTGTATATGTGTGTGTGTGTGTCTTGATACCTGAACCCAAATTCTGTTCCCTCTTGATTTTGCTGAAGGTGAGGCATGTGAATGTGAATGAATTTTATACATATATATGTGTATAAAATTATATATTACTGTTTGTTATTTCTTCAAACTGAAGTGGATATATCGGAACTGGGGAAAAAAAAATCTCTGAAAATAGCCAAGACGGTTGGGTTTGGTAAAAGCAGTTAGAGAAGGAATCTGCATTTCTCTTCCTGTGCCTTTGAGATGTAGCTACCTATCCGGGCTCTCAAGGGAAAAAAAGGGTTTTTTGTTTTGTTTTGTTTTTAATCAAGTGGAAAAACTGCAAGATCTCTGATTCTGTCTATCTTTATGTTAAAAAAAATTTGTAGATGAGCTCTATTGAATTGACTTAAAAGTAAGTGCTTAAAAATTAAATACTTCCAAGTATAAAAGAAGCAAAACAGAACACATTTCGGGTTCATGTGATCTGGGAGGTATTCAGCATTGAATTGGTATCTGCTATTAAAGATAGCTTAAGCTTGTTGGTATAATCAATATAGACATGTATTTTATCGTACCTATGTTTACTGAAGGTCAAGTTCATGTTGCTTCTGTTGCAGAGTTTGTCAGCAAAAAGAAAAAAATTAATTAACTTGGTATGAGGAAATTCTTATAAGTGAATTAAATGC